ACCTCCTCTGTCGCAAATTCAACTCCTTTTGCTTGAACAAATACTGAAGACTCTTGTGATCCGTGAACACCTCACATGCCACGCCATACAGATAATGCCTCCAAATTTTCATGCGTGAACAATGGCTGCCAACTCCAAGTCATGAATCGGATAGTTCTTCTCATGAATCTTCAACTGTCGTGAAGCATAGGCAATGACCTTGTCATCCTGCATCAACACTGCACCAAGCCCAATACGAGATGCATAACAATAGACTATATAAGGCCCTGGACCTATGGGCAAAACCAACACCGGTGCCGTAGTCAGAGCTGTCTTGAGCTTCTGAAAGCTCACCTCACACTCATCCGACCATCTGAACTGGGCACCCTTCTGGGTCAACCTGATCATCGGGGCTGCGATAGATGAGAACCCCTCCACGAACCGACGGAGTAGCCTGCCAATCCCAAGAAACTCCGAATCTCTATAGATGATACTGGTCTAGGCCAGTTCTTGACTGCCTTAATCTTCTTCGGATCAACCTGAATACCCTTTGCTGATACAACATGACCCAGAAATGCAACTGAACTCAACCAGAACTCACACTGATCAAAAAAAATTAATTCCAAAAAACATACTAATCAAAACTCAAGAAACTTTTCGTGGATAACAGTGGACATGCGGAATAATTCTGGAAGTAATTTAAGGTGGAACTAAATCCCTTAATTGAAGGCACTAATAATGGATTGGGAGCCTTTTAAGGTGGAATGTATATATTTTGTAAACAAAACTTGTGTAGGTATGGTAATTTACTAAATAGAACATTTAGGATAATAAAGTTTCCAATAATGTGTAGGAATGAAAAAATCCCTCAATTTTATAGCCCATATTTCAATTTACAATCAACTAGCCCAAAAATAATAGGCTAAGATTCAACATGGCTCCAATAGGTTCTAAAAATTACTATTTAATTTTTAAAAAAGATTGCTCAAGATTTTAAGTTAATTTTCGAATCAGTAACTATGACTCAAATATTAGTTCAACAAACCAAATCCATTTGGATGGTGAAAATTAAATTTTTAACAAGCTTAAACATGTGGGTTTAAATTTCTAATTTGATTTTGGGAGAAATTTGGAGTATGTGTTATTTAGACTAGTTAGAAATAGTATAACGAGGTTGTATATAAAATTTGAAGTCATTTAAATGGAGATTTGGACTGGTTTTGAACAAGAATTGCAACTGAAAACTGTGGAAGAAGTTCATCTACAAACGCGTATAAAGGTGTATAAAAGTGTATAATAGTGTATAAGATGTGTTTATATACTATTATACAAGATTATACATAATTATACAAAAACTGACTTCGTCTTTTTCCTTGCGTCTTTTCTAAAATTTAACTCAAATCTACTCCAAATCACTTCAAATTTAAATTTTGAACTCCTTTTGATATTTTCAATAAATTGGAACAACACTCAATCCAAACAACTAACAAATTCAAAAAATTCTATTTTCGAAAGCAAAGCTTTGAATGGCCTTCATTGGTGGACTTCTACTCTTCAACTTTCTTACATTGCAACTAGGTGATACAGGGTAAGAAGCAGCAATGGCGGACAACCCTTTGAAGTATATGTAGAAGATGTAAAAAGAATGGTTGTGAGAATACATATTTAAGTCCATAGTTTTTAGAAGCAATGATTGTAACAACACTAGTTTTTAATTTGCCAATACTTTCAAAATATATATAATATAAGTTAAATTGGGTAAAACTTAAAAAAATATGAATAATTTTTTGTTACGATGTGGAGTCATATGTATTTTCTTGTAATTATTTGTTTGAAAACCCATGAACTCACTTTGTTCAATTAACCTGCAAACTCCAAGTGTCAAATGGCCTGAGCGGGATTTCATTTCATGGCGATTGCTCCTTTTTCGTCACTACCACCAGCAAAGTCCGCCATCTCCACAGCTCCTCATTTCCAACACATTTGTACTTCTTCCACATTACTACCCTACCTTTCATCTCACCCTCTTTCAACTCTTTCGCAGCTTTTCTCCAAACAAACCGCCAATCCCACAAAGACCAACAAACCCAAAAATGGTAAACAACTCAATAATCCTCCCAAGCCCAAACCGTCATCATCTTCTTCCAAATCCAAAACAGCTGCAAACATGGCCAATCTCATCAACACAAACATATGGTCATCTAATCTTGAATCTTCACTTTCCTCCCTCACTCAACCTTCTCTCTCACACACCACTGTCCTCCACACACTCCGCTTCATCAAGAAACCTTCTAAAGCCCTTAACTTTTTCAACTGGACCCAAAAATTGGGTTTTTCACACACCCATCAATCCTATTTCCTCATGTTGCAACTCCTTGGCAATGCCCGTAACCTAAATTCAGCAAGAAACTTCCTTTTCTCTATACCCACAAGGTCTAATGGTACTGTACCGCTTCAAGATAAGTACTTTAACACCTTGATTCGAAGTTATGGTAAAGCTGGGCTTTTTCAAGAATCATTGAAGGTGTTTAAAACGATGAAATCACTTGGAATTTCACCCTCTGTGGTCACGTTTAACAGTTTGTTTACGATTTTGCTGAAGAGGGGTCGAACTGGAATGGTCTACGACTTGTTCGATGAAATGCTTAAGACGTATGGCGCAAAGCCTGATTCATATACATTTAACATTTTGATCAGAGGGTTTTGTATGAATTCCATGGTTGATCAAGGGTTTAGGTTTTTTAAGGAAATGGAGAGGCATGAATGTGAACCGGATGTGATTACATACAACACGATTATTGACGGTTTGTGTAGGGCGGGGAAAGTGAAGATTGCACATAATGTGTTAAAGGGTATGGTCAAGAGGGGTCATCAATTGAGTCCTAATGTTGTAAGCTACACCACTTTGGTTAGAGGGTATTGTGAGAAGCAAGAGGTTGAACATGCTCTTGATGTTTTTAAGGAAATGATTGATCTTGGTCTAAAACCGACAAGTATTACTTATAATACTCTTGTACAAGGTCTTTGTGAGGCTCAAAAGTTTGACAGAATAAAAGAGATCTTGGAGAGGACTCTAGGGGGTGGAAGATTTATTCCAGATACATGTACTTTTAACACATTGATTACCTATCATTGCAACGTGGGAAATTTGGATGAATCAATGAAAGTTTTTGAGAGTATGTCGGACTTAAAGGTTAAACCTGATTCAGCAACCTATAGCATCTTAATACGGAGCTTTTGTCAAAAGGGGTACTTTGATAGGGCAGAGAAATTATTTGATAAACTAATGAAAACGGAGGTTCTGCTTTGTGATGACGGCTGTAAACCACTTGTTGCAGCATACAACCCCTTGTTTGAGCATTTGTGTAAGATTGGCAAGACAAAGAAGGCCGAGAAAGTGTTCAGGCAGCTAATGAGAAGAGGAACTCAGGATCCTTTGGCTTATCGAATCTTGATTATGGGGCACTGTAGAGAAAGCACATTTAATGATGCACATGAACTCTTAGTTTTGATGTTGAGGAGAGATTATGTACCTGATATTGAAATTTATGAGTCCCTAATTGAAGGTCTGCTGCAAAAGAATGATCCCAAGGTTGCTTATGATACGCTGGAGAGGATGTTGAAGAGCTCCCATCTTCCGAGAGCTTCAACTTTCCATCAAATTCTTACGGAACTCATCAAGAAGAATTGTGCAATTGAATGTGCTTCCTTGGTGAAACTAATGTTAGATAACAAAGTTAGACAAAGCATTAGCCTTTCAACTGATACTGTGAGGATACTCTTCCAAACAGGATTAAGGGAGAGAGGTTTTGAGATTGTTAGGTGTCTTTACGAAAATGGATACATGGTAAATATGGAAGGCTTGGTTGTTTCCCTTTGCCAGTGTAGAAAGTTATTGGAGGCACGTGACCTATTGTTATTCAGCTTAAGCAAGGATCATATTCTGAACGTAGATACATGCAGTACTGTTTTGTCTGCTCTCTGCAAAGCGTGTAGAGCTTCAGAAGCATTTGAGATGTACTATGAGTTGCTCGAGAAAGGAGTCCAACAACCTTTAAAATGCTTAGAAGAGTTAGGACTTGTTCTTGAAACTGAAGGAAGGACTAAGGAAGCTGAATTTGTTAAGAAGAGAATCTTAGGCCAATCACAGTCAGATGGATTGGTTCAAACTTGTGCATCTGAAAGAGATCCTAGTAATCTGTAGTACATAAGAGTTCTACCAATTCTTCAATTATTATCTTAACCACATTCTGTTGTGAAGAATAATGGTTTGCATATGGTACATGACAACGCTAGCTGGCGCTAGATGCCTCTGGAATCTGATTAAGAGTGCCATGAGGTTCATGCTTTCTGTTTCTCTTGGCAATGGAGAAATCTGATCTGTACAGCCTTGGAAAACATGAAAGACTCGAGGAATTTGGAGGAAAGTTGTTGCTTGATAAATTTGGCCTTTCAGGCGGTTACTAAGAGAAATGACACAAGCCCAAGCGGAGGGGATAGGTTCAATGCTGCTCAAGTGGAGTACTGTTCTTTGAAATTTAGCCAACTTAAGCACCATAACAAGCATTGTACATCTTAAGCAATCAAAATCTCCAGATTCCTCGGATGAACAATTTGACGCCACCTTGACAACTTTCTTTTGGTTTGTTTCTTCAATCTTTCGTTGTCATTGAGTCATCTGATCTTCTTCCAACCAAGCAATATCGTTGATTTGGATACAATTCAAAAAACGGGAAGAAAAAAAAATGTGAAAAGATTTTGCCTGATACCCTGGCTTTTGTACAAGGACATGATTTCAACGAAGGGCCTGATAGATTTTTACCTTATAATTTATGCATTTATTTATGTCCTTTGTAAAACAGTCTCCCAAATATGAAGTTTCAATATTTGTTTGACCATAATATTCTCCAAGTATGCTTCTTATGGCGAGTGGTTGTCATTTCTGGAATTGAAGAAAATGTACTATAGCTCTTTTCTACGATAGGATAAAATTCTATCCAGGCATACAGACAATATTCACCACTAAAGCTCTATTTCTCGCTACATTATCATCTCAAAGTTTAAGCAACTAATTATCTCACTGCAGATGCCTTTAGAGACAAGAGATTATCCAAATCTGTATTGTTTCCACTGTCATTCTGCGGGGGGGCAAATATCTCCCAGAACCTAATAGTCTCATCTGCTCCACCCGATACCACAGTCAAACCATCAGGGCTCTGCATGAAAGGGAAGGAATGTTACTGTCTCAAATTTTGGAGAAAAAAAACTATTGTTCCTATTTTGTTTGATGTGTAAAGTCTCACCTGGGTGAGATGCAGAACTCTTGATGAATTAGCATGATGCAATGGCTCTCCTATTCTAGCCATGGAAGGATAACTCCATAAGCACAACTTACAACCACGTTCAGTCGTTCCAAATCCATGGCCACTTAATATCTCTTTGTGATGCCTGTTCCATTGAATCCCACAAATCTGCCAATTTCATTCACAGTAACACCATGTATATGAGGAAACTTTGTATTAATCAAACTAATGATGGAAATTTGTGACACATCTATACTGAATCAACTGAAATATCATTGCCACTGTGGCTGGACATGTTTAGAAGATGAAACTACAGCACAATATATTTTTTGGCAAAATATCAGAAAAGATATTGTCTATATCCATGCAGTCTCAGAGTATATGCATATAATGCTATAAGATGGCAAATTTGATGTTCAAACTTGCCTGAGATCCAGTTTCAGTGGTACTGATGCATGTCCCTTTCTTAGTGTTCCAGATCTTAAGACATCCATCATTTATCCCCCCTCCAGAGGCTAATACATCGCTCTTATATGGACACCAAGCTATGGCCTTTACTGCAGCATTATGTTCATTGAACTTGTGCATATGGTGTCTTGAGCTCATCTTGCGAAAATCCCATATGTACACAAGATTGTCATTGCCACCACTAGCTAGTACATTCCCCGTGCTAGACCATTTCACGCCACACACTTCCCCTCTATGTACTCTCGTTAGAGAGACCACACTATTTCTCGCTCTCACTGCCAATTAGACGCGCAAGTAAGATTAGCTCCTATTTTATAAGAGAGATTTATTAACTAAATCAGTATAAAAGAAAATTCTGCAGCTATATACTTAGTTACCATCATGATTAACAATAGCTTTGTCTTTACTCCCTGAGGTTAAAATATGACCATTCCATGCAACACAACCCACTCTACTCTTATGGCCTTGCAGATCTCTCACCTTATAATGCGATCAAAGGAGTCGATTACTTAATCGAAACAAGAACATATTTTCTACTACAATGTGAACAACATTAACTAGTTCTTACAAGTTTGGAAGTCTCAGCATCCCAGAGCTGCAGTTTGGAGGATATACACCCAACTGCTACTATTTTTGCATCATCAGACCATGCTACACTAGTAGGATAATCATGTTCGCGCATCACTTCCATCAGTATCTGTGCATTTTTCACTTCATCATTCCAGATGTATAGCTTTCTTCCCAGAACAACGGCAAGTAAGTTGGATTTTCCCCAATCCATGACATTTGAGTAATAGTCATCTGACAATAGAGGAGCATCTAGAATTCTAGTTTCTTTCTGCAAAATAATCTCCCAATACGTTAAACGTGCATCCCTTGTGTCTAAAACAGTACACTGAAACAGTGGCGTAGCCACATAGAGTGAAAGGTGTTCAGTTAGAACATTCTTGATCGGAAAATTATACTATGTATATAGGTCAAAAATAACTTTTATAAATATATAGTATTAAATTTTTAACACCCTTTGCAAAATTCTTGGCTCCACTATTGCACTGAAACTAGCAAATATTTTGAAAAGGTAACATGAAATTTTACCAAGCGAAACTTCTTATGTCGCCTATGGTCATGAGTTTGGAGGGGAATTTCTTCATCACTACGGCGCATTTCATCAATAAGACGGGTAGATTGTCTACTGGATTTGGGACTCCCTCTAAAAACCAGCATTCTGAATGGTCTTCCTTCCACATCCAACTTTAGATTTTCCTCCATCTTCCTTCTATATTCATCCTATAACGATCATACTAAACAAGCAATCAACTAAATAAATGTGGGATCAGAAATTCAAGAAAAATTAAACTAACATTGAACTTGGGTTTTCCGAGAATATTGTTGGTTCTGTTGGTGAGTAAAGTGTGTGCTTGATCAAGATCCATCAGGCTTCTATTGGGTATAAATCTATCTCCCTTCATCACAAACATCATATATTCATTCATCAAATTACAGATTAGTAGCAGTAATTAACAAAGGCAATAGGCAAAAACAGTTTAAAGAAAAGGGAACGGGGAAATTACAGGGAAGTCATAGTCCACAGGATTGCTGAGAAGACGAGTTGGAGAGTACCAATCTTGTTCAAGTCTTCTTAGTGAGTTGTCATAATTAATCTCATTCATTGTTGAAAATCGCAGCTAATTTTTTTTTTCAATTTTCAGGGTTTCGATTGCAGTCAAACAAAGAAGAGAAGAGGAGGAAAGCTTCTTGAGAATGAGTTAATGGCTATTTCGCGCCAAATTAACGGTTATGCTTAGGGAGACGTCCGTTCATTTAATTTCCCCAACGGTAAGGTAGGTCATTTCTCTTCTTTTTATTTATTTAAGACGGAGAAATATTTAAGTTATTTTTCTTTTTTCTTTTTCCTATTTTTTTTCATCAACAGAGAATTGTGAGTTTCTTCTCTTTTGTATAATTAACAGGGAATAAGGTCTAATTGGATTGTACAAATGAGACCGTTTTGTCCTCGTGATTTATAAAACAGTAATCTTCTGTTTAATAATTACAAAAAGAAACTCTTACAAAACATTATTCAATGACGAATTACTGAATTTATCCCTCAGCAAGAAAAAGAAAAGAATAAAAAGTAAAATTTTAAGAAACAAAGAACAAGTATATGACGGGGCCAATTTCTTCGTCATGTATTTATATCTTCCTTGATTCCTATTTAAGCCATCTAATTTTGTTTTTCTAGCTTTTCAATTCCTCATTTATGTAGTTGCCCTTGGCCTTTCATGATTGGCTATAATTGCGTATTTTAATAGCTTATTACATTCTAATTTACTGCACTTTAATTGAGTTTGAGCTTTAATCGTTAGAGTTTTGCACTAAATTGTGTATTTTATGCCTTGTAGGAGTGATTCCGAGCTATGTAGTTATTATTGAATGAATTTAAGTGATTTGAAATTTTGAATTCTAAGTAAAAGCCCAAGGAATCAAGTCGGGATCGTGTTCGAGGTTCAACCGACGATAGTTAAGAACGAAACGGAGAATCGAGCGGACATACAGCGCATTGTCTAGTAAAATACACATAACTTTTCGCTCAGAACTCCGTTTGGGCTCCACAATATATCGTTGGAAAGCTATTTGAAAGGGATACAACTTTCATGTTTTACATTTTTGCGAATTCCCACTACCGCAGTGCGCGGTGCGCCTGTGAAAATTTCCTGCAGCCTGTCAGAATCAGCAATTTGAACTCTCCCACTACCATCCCGCATGATGCGTCGCCCCATGCGGCGCGGTAGTGCAAATTTTACAGAGTGATTGTCCTATTTCGCGCGGGAGAAGGTATTTTCGTCTGTTCCCGACCCTACTTGGTATAAATACATGTAAAAATACTATTTTGAGGAGGTGGACATACTTTGGAAATAATTTAGACCTAACGAGGTTAAGGAGACGGGGGATTCGACCTAAGGAGGCAAGAACACACTAGGAGTAAGGCGGAGAATTCTTCTACGAGTTTTTCTCTTCCTTCTTCCTATTTTCATTATTGGTTATGAATTCTAGTATTGTAGTTTTGCATACTATTATGAATAGCTAAATTGTTATCTAGGGTTTTGATGGAACCTCTTGAAGGATGATTTTCCTGTTACGTTAATATAGTTTTGCCGTAGTATTTTCTCTATTTGTTCAACTACGTTATTATTGTGGTTGGTTGAAGAGCTCTCAATCGACTGTGCCTATTTAGTGTGTATTACTCGGGAGAAAGTGCATATTTAGGTAGTTGTTGAATAACATCACTCCTAACGTATATGAGGGATCAATACGAAGGGTTTAAAGGTGGGATTAGGGATAACGAAACCTTGGGTGCGATCCGAGTGAGCCATACTTAATGCCAGCTAGCGTAATTCGGGAGAATATGTCTAGTAAATTGTGGTAATTACTCGGGAGAGAATTACAACAGTCAGAGCGCTCATGATCGGTAGAGAATACTTAGGCGAATTTATAGAAAACGTAGCGGGAAGGATTCCGACAATAGGGGAAATCATAACTCTAGACCTCCTTAATCTTGTCTCTAACCCTTAGTATCTTTAGTTGTTAATTTACTATTTTAATTTGTTAGTTAATTAGTTAAACACAAGAATCTTAATATTTATAAGTTAGGAATTATTCAAGCTTGTCTTCTTAGTAATAGGCAACAACTGTAGCTAAGCCTTAGTTCTCTGTGAGATTCGACTCCGAACTTGTAAACCGAATTATATTTGCAACGATCGCTTTATCTTTTTTATAAGGCATAGTTGGGCGTGATCACCCTCGTATAATTATGAAAAAGTTCAATGCCCTTGGTTTGAAATATCATTCAACCTGCATTATATTACACTGCGTGGTGAATATTTTTCCTTATAAATTTTCATTTGTACTATAGTGTTAAGTGGCCTGTAGCGAAGGATATATTTAATATATTTAATTTTTCATTATGGTTTTGATCAACAATAACATACCTAGTGTAACCCCACAAGTGAGATCTGGAGATGATAGAATATACCCAGACCTTACCCCAACCTTTACGAAGGTAGAGATGTTTCCGGTAGGCCCTCAGCTCAGGAAAAATAAAGAGAAGGGACAATAACAAGCAAACCAATCCACAACCGAAGCGAAAATACAAAACTAACACTAGATCATTATGGTTTTAATCATTGTTCTATATCTTGAGTTATATCGGGATGTAGTGTTATTTTATCCCCATGGAAGGGTGGAATAAATAATCCCGAAATAATTAATGATAGGATAACTTATTTTCCAACCTAACGACCCGTGAAAGTACGATTAATGAAGTTTTCTTCTTTCTAGTCTTCCTTTTCCCGTAAGAAATAACGCCTTTTTAACACTTTTGAGGGAGTTATTCTGCAGTGTTAGACTCGTCCAGAGGTTAGACTGATAAGGAACAATTTCCTTTTATATATCTCCACTTATTTTTCAGGCAAATAAATAACTTTTTCTATTAAATTAATAAAGTTACAATTACCTCCCAGTTTAAATTTGTGTAGAAACTGACTTGATGTGAGTTATTGACGACAAATAATAACCTGGTATGTGTTAAAATCACCGTTTAAAGGACTTCCACAACGCATTTTCTCTTGGAAATTTTTAACGAACTGCTTAAGCTTCGAGTCAGGAACCAACCAAGGACAGTGAAGGCCATAAGATGGTACAGATTTGCAAAAGGTTCCAATAGAAGAACAATACAGAGAGGACAATACTCATCTACATTCAGCTAATACAATAAGCGAAGAAAGAAAAATAGAAGTGCAACCTGCAGATGCGCAAAGAACAAGAATGACATAACTCAGTTGCTAATCAAGCATCCAACCATAGTATCCAAGGCACAACGCCACGCTCAGCAGACAAAAGTTGAAATCCTACTGCCGCATATCACTGGTGTCTCTGGCTACTAACAACTACTAATACTTTACCCAAAAAGTATAAACTGGTAAGCTGATGGCAAGAAAATGCCCACTAGACAAACGAGGTCCCCATAATTGCTTATGCCCATGAAGGGCTGCTCTCATTTGCAATATCATACTTGATCCACTTCTGGATCCTTTTCACAACAAAGAAATACTGCCAAAGGTACAACAAAAGCGGGAGTTAGCCGTACAACAAATCCAATAATTACTAATGCACAAAAAGTGTTTTCAGATTGAGAGCTCACTTGGAATGCTAATATAAAAGGAATTAGCACTTTGCCCCTATTGTTGGGGTTTGGACCTTCAATCAATTTTTGGTCAACCAAAATACCCTTGCTTCCACTTAAAACAACATCTGTAATAGTTTGGACTAAATTGGGTATCCATGCAGTTCCACTTGGAAGTATCTGTGAACAATACAGACCATTTTAAAAAGCTTAGTATACTGAAAAAAATCACAAAAGGATGAAATGAATTGAAGAATAACCTACCTTTTCGTCACTTTCATTCTTGTTGCATCTCCCACTATTCTCAACCAAAACTACAGGAATTGCAGCAGCCTAACAGCAAAGACAGCAATATATCAAAGATGAAAGTGTAGTCGTGCAAAAAGCATCACAAGAGCAAACAACTTGTTATCACTGGGAATCCATGTAAACTTGCAAGCAAGATGTCAGGTTCGCTAGCAAAACTCCTCTTCCACTTCCATTCTCTCGCTTCACAGAGGAGACTAATTCTTTGCCCATTGGTTTAGTTTTCAATATATTAAATTTAACTATCAAAAAGAAGGGTAAGACAGCCTTTAACTTTTGTCTCAGTCCCTCCCCAAGTTTCTGAACTGAAGTTCAAGTCACGTTTGTAAATGCAAGCACAACATATATGTGTATCAGAGAACCTTGACGCTCCCCCCCCTCCCCCAACTCTTTTTGATCAGTATCACAGACCCTGACCATTACAAGTATATATTCAAATTAGGGTCATTTTATACACTACAGTGACTGGCAGATAAACAGACTGTCTAACAAAGACAAGTACCAGGAACAAATTAACTTTTGCATAGAAGGTTAAGGAGCAAAGGCTCTTCATTGGCTGATGTTGGGCGTGATGATTATAACTCACTCTCTTCCTCACGTGCATGCATGTCATGCACACAAAAAAAAAAGCATGTAGTAAGTATGTTTAGAGTCAAAGAAAGGGAGGAGTTATGAATACCGTCAGACAACAGTGTGGGAAGGTCAAGACCATGAACTAGACCAGAAGCTGCTATGTTGTAGAATGTAAATAAGCACATTAAGTGAATTTCAGGGAGAAGAGATGGTTAGTTATCCCAGTTTTCCAATGAACATAAGCAGGAAGACACTCGACATGGAAAGGAAGCAAGGGCGCAGGCTGAAGCGACTTCTTCCTAATAATGGTGATAAAGACAGGCCATCTTTGAGGTGAAGGACCTAAGGAGAGGCACTACCATGTATGTCCTAGAGTGTCAACAAGGAATACATGACTCAGGAGAGTATAACAAGGAAGGATCTACATTCAAATTGTGTGCAAGAATTTAGATTCAAGAGAACGTGAATTGTAGAAGATTGTGATCCTCCTGAAAATATACTTCGAGCAAGAAGAGGAAGTACACTACTGTGACCTACCTGAATCTCTTGTTTCCTAATTCGAGCCCCCATCCGGACAATTTTCAAAAGTGCCTCTGATCTTCGGGACGTGAATTCGTCATAAGTCAATCCATCAGGAGGA